CATAAGACCATATACCTTATTGCAATTGTTCCTCTGTGTTACTTCAGGAAGGAAACAAACCTTTGTTCACTCCATATCTCTAACAGGGATCTGGTAATACTATACAGGAGCTAGGGAATTGGATGCGGAAAATCCTGCAGATCCGGGGCTTGGTAATTTGTTGATTATTAGAGTCAAACTTGAGTATTCTCACACGCGACTATGACAACTAGAAGTTACTATCGCAAGGAAAATGCTGCAATCACGCTAAACACTGTGTTGGTGTAATGTACTCAGGTGAATATGATGCTTGTGATGTTACTCTGAGTGCATGTATATCCACACCGGGCAAGCTTGAACAATATGCTTGGCCACGGTGGGAATCGAACCTACGACCTTTGGAATACCAGCCCAATGCTCTGCCAACTGAGCTACGCGGTCAGGTCGGTTCGAGTATATTTGGGAACTGAGTCTAGTTCCTTCGATATTTAAAAGTAAAATTCTAAAACTTTTGATGTTCAACCAGTCAAACTTTTTCTATGAAACACTGCAAATGACACACGGTAAGCATTAATTTATTTTGTGCCCAGAAATTAAATCTCTATAATGTGGCTGTGCCACCTTCATGGTGCCGATCCTGTGTATTAGTGCATGACACGCATCCTCATGGCAAACTGACGTTATATGGAAATGTGTATATTAGTTACTCATTATTCAATGAATGTCTTTATTATTCAACCTTTTGACTGCCAATTTATCTGGGGAATTAAGGAATTAGGGAGAAACTGTTCACAAACATATTGAGATAAACTCAAATAAAATAATCCATTCCCTTGCCTTGCCAGAAATTATTATTTATAAAGTCCGAAGAGGTTTATCCTAACAAACATTTTCCGGGTTAATAAAAAAGAAAGTATATGTGATTTTGCAATATATATATATACTCTACGTTACCAGCTCAAGATAACGTTACGTTTCCAAAATAGTTGCAGTATACGCTAACATATCATTGAAAACATCTGGGGAGGGAGGTAGGATCCACATGCAACCATTGCATTGCTTTGTATTAGCAATTGCCTTGCAATCCGCAGCAAAAATTGCGTCTCAGAATTTTGTTTTGCAGAATTTTCTCATTTACATATAAAAGAAGAATTTGAGGTGATTTATTGCTGGCGGATATTACCGATCCATAAAGAGTGATCAGAAATGTATATTGATGAAGCGCCTTGTTATAAACGAGTCGAGCTTGAAACGAGTCCAGCTTGAAATGAGTGAGATAAGTGGGGCGTGCCAGGTCAGGAGTCAAGACATGTGGGCGAGACATGCCGGGAACTTTTCGTGGGAACACTGTAGTTGCAAGAGTCTTTAGTACAGATTATTTAATAGAAACTCAGACTAAATTAATAACCATGGACATGCATGGTTAGATCATGTAGGGAAATTACCTGTCCATGTGAATTCGCGAAATGATTCGATATATCATTCTGTAGAACTCATAACCGCTATAGCGAGTAAAACACGGCCAACTATACCTTAAAGTGGTATGATTATATACGATTAACATTTCCATAGCGCAAATTTATATGTGGATGTGATCAAATGCGCTTTACATCAAGTATTACACTTACCTAATTACATATACTAAGCCTAGACAGTATTCATCTTTACAACAATTGTGATATTAATTTCCTAACTGTATTTATCCTAACTCACCTTGTCGACTTCCCTGTGGGAGGAAACCGGAGCACCCGGAGCGGAAAACCCATGACTTTCGGCAGAGCGTTGACTGACTTTTTTCACTTGAGTCCGTAGCGAGAATCGAACACACGACCTCAGAGGTGAAATACGCTTGCTCTGCCGGACGACTACGTACACTACCGAAGCCCCCTAATGTCGTGTAGAACTCTTGCTGAGTAAAGCACAGTCGTAATAAATCCTATGAAAATCTCAGAAAATCATTGTTCCGTTCATTGTTTCGTATTTAAACAATTACATCAAAAATAGAATGCGCTGTATTAAAAAGAGCAGTACCTTATTCCCTTAATAATGGTTTTGTTGCTAACTGAGAATTTGGTGGTGTCCACCAGTCATGTTGTCAAGGATGAAGGAAACAGTGGGTTGACCAGGAACATACCAATATAATGATAACGTCTAGACATTGTCAATTGTCAAAATATGAAAAGTGCACTATATTTTAAAAGCACTTGAACCGCTTTGAATGGAAATTAAGCAATCTTTCATTCTCGTGCAGTTCTAGTCACTTTGACACCACCGATACGTTAAGATGTCCTTGTTTCATGGCATTCAAGGTCAGTGTAAATAATAATATATGGAGCAGATAATTAATGTTCTCTTGCATGAGGGAAGGGAAAATAAGGCCATTATTTAAGTGACAATTTCAATTTTTGACTAATTTTTAATATTGGCAAAAAAAGTATATTCTCGGAAAGAGCATCAGTAAAATGAGTAAAATTTGCTAAGTTTGGTTGCGAAATGTTGTAAAATGCGGAAAATATAGCCTTGCAAAGTTCGCAAATTTTGTATAGCCTACTTTTGTATTGCGTGCGGAAATTGCTATCACATTTGTGATTTGATTTGGGCCGAAAATGGTAGCAATTTCCGCACGCAATACAAAAGTGTATAAAATTTGCAAACTTTGCAAGGCTATATTTTCCGCATTTTACAACATTTCGCAACCAAACTTTGCAATTTTACTCATTTTAGTATCCTCTTTCTAGCTGTGTTCTCCCTGCCTAGTTTATACAGGTGTATGTATAATATCACAGTACCACAGAATACCAGTTTTTTTATTTCTCTTATAAAATTTGAAGGAAACATGCTATATACTTTATTTTTGTGAATAATGGGAATTGTTCACGAACTGAAATGAAATGTGGTAAATAATAAGTATACAGCAATTCTAACACACAAACAGCTGGAGCTAGTATTTATCTATTGTATTAACATCACGCATGCAGAAGCCGCGTTCCCAGTTACAAATTGTTTCATGAATATCATCAAAACTGACTACGTGTTACCATGCTCGATTAACTGACCGCATATGCACATGTATAAATGGCCGTTCTGACTTCTAATCACTGTACTAGGTAGGTTTTTCCCAACCACTCTGCAATATACCGTGTTGTTTTCGTTGTGTATATATATAATACCGTGTTGTTTTCGTTGTGTATAGTATATATACAATATACGTTGTGTTTTCCACAAACCGAAGTAAATATCAAACTTGATGATTTACTTAGTTTTGTTCAAAGGGAGCAGTCATTATTAATGCCAGGGGGTGGAAGTCATATTTGGATGGAAAATTTCATGATCTATTAAGGGGGGGGGGGGGGCTGGCAAAAAAGATAGGGACAGAAAGGGGCAGCTACCAAAAATAATCATAAAACATTACCAATTCACTGTAATATTATAATACTTCAATACCACATATATTGTACTTTAGAGATAGTTAATTGGACGTACCTCTACGGGCATTTGGGATTTTGTGTTGTGCAACTGTAATATAAGCCTTATTTGGTTATCTGTTTCTTTAAATTAATCTTCACAGGGTTTGGAAAGTAGACCTTAGCATGAAATACTGTATAGTAGGTGCATATATATATAGTGTGTGCAGTGTTTTGTATTTTCGTTGTCGGTCCATGCACATGTCATGCAAAATTATTCCTGAATGATAGATATACGTGTAATATGATGATGTACATTACTGCTGTGTATCCTCTGTGGTATAATTTATTAAGTTAATGGATTTCCATGAAAAATTTATCACAAGTTAAGAAATGTCTTTCGCCCTGCCCCCCGGCATTAACAATGACTGCTCCTAAGTCCTTACTTCACCTTTACACATTGCTGAGATTCAACGCACCATTTTGGTCACTTTTATTTCTGTCATAGTATTCATCAAATTTCTATCATAGTACTTCCAAATATTGTGTCGACGGGGGGTGGAGAACTTCACAAAAATTTTCGCTAAACTATTACAGGCACTTTACAGAAAATCAAGTTTGCTATGAAAATGAATTCCTGGATAAGGAAACTGTCCCCCTCCCCACCCCGCTTTGGACAGCACTGCAATTTCTCCACCATTTTATTATTGAATGAATACTGACAGTAATACTGACCATGCACTATTGCAATTACTTAATGTATGTGGGTGGGTGGATGTTTCCTTCCGTACGCCCATGTCCAGTGGCGTAGCAAACTCGATAATTGGGGGGGGGGCAATACTCATATATTCATGTTCTGCATCATTAATTTCTTTTGAAATCAATTGTTTTTAAGGTCTGTGAACACAAATATATGAATATTGTCCCCCCCCCCCCAATTATCGAGTTTGCTACACCACTGCCCATGTGAGTTAAATAATTTGTGCACCACTTAAACATTCACAGTTTAACATTAAAAGAACCTGAGTGTGCATGAACACCAGGCAAGCCGAAAAGTTTGCCTGTCCTGCTGTCCACGGTGGGAATCAAACCCACGACCTTTGGGAAGGACCTTGTGGGTTATAGATTCCCACCGTGGTCAGGCAAAACTTTTCGGCTTGCCTGGTGTGGATGCACACTCAGAGTAACATCACAAACATCATATTCACCTGAGTACATAACACTAACACACACAAAAACTAATAAAGAACCTGTTTATATAAAAAAGTGTTTCAGCAGCAATGCAGCATTCCCTGCATGTACTTGCCTGTTGTGTGTTTTCCTTCTCTTCATTCTCTGTTAGATACTGTATTCTTTTTTTAATTTTGACTCTATTTTGCGCGCTTTATATGTACGTAGCGAAATGCGGTTCAGTTTTGCATGCCATTCCGACCATGAAAGCTGTGACCAAAGACCAAAGTAACTCTCGCAAGTATACGATTCGAAGTCAAAAGATTAAACGGCTTGGGCTGTGGCTTGGGTGCGCTGTGCTGAAATAATCTCAGACAGTATTACGTAAATTTTTAATCAGATTTTTTGACTGGATGTTGTAAACTGTAAAGAAATAAATAAAACAAAATGTCTTACAGTAAACGCGACTTTGATATGTCTATGAAAAAATCAAAGCAAGAAAAAAGACCATCATCTGACAATGTATGTAAAAATGTAAAATGTGTGGCTATATTTAAAATGACTTCACATTTTGCATGTATCTGACAATGTGACAATATGTCCATAATGTCCACTGTTCATCAGACTCAATATGCGCTTCATCTTGTTATTTAGTTTGTTGATCTTCACATTTTTGTCGTACCGTATGAACTTTGGATGGAGAAATATAGAACTGCTTATAACAGCAGTACTTTAGAGTCGATTTCAGCAGGATTTGTCAGGTAGTTGGTTATAAACGTTCATAATTTTATATCACTTTATTTATTTTACCAGTAAATTATAGCTGCCAGTTATCATACAATATACAGAAATAAATTTTACCTCTCTTATTTTTTATAATAAAAACACACACATTTATCTGTCGCTTAGAAATTGTACTCACACTTTTTTACTTCTTATATGATACATATAAAAACATAGTAAACTGCTCAAATTTTAGAAAGTTGTGAAAGTGGTTGCTATGGTAACGTAAACTATAGTATTATCCAATATGTATTTATTAATAGTTATATATCCATACAAAATCAAACAAATAACACTGTTGGACATATCATAATATTGTACATATGTGCATCAATGTGTCTGTGTGTGTGAGTGCTTTATTGTGAAACACAATAAAATTTTATGATGTAATAATATATTCTATCTTTGGAAAATGCAGGGACAGCTTAGAGCACATGCATGTTTAGGATGTTTTGGGACCGGTCATTATATGTATATATAAATGACTAGAAGGGGGGGGCTATTAAATTTTTTCGAGAAAATGAGGGGGGTTGCAATTAAATTTGAAGGAATTTGCTTAATAAGCATGGTATCCATTTGGTTGTAATGGTCACTGATGTTTATATATATATATTATATTTATTGAGAACATTACATTATATAATTAATATTATATATAATTATATATAATTAATATTATGTATAATTAATATGAACTCAAATGGCATAAGCACAAACGAGACGCGAAGTCCCATGCAAGGTGCAAACCCCGAAGCAGCGAATACGTACATAAATATAAATACACACATACATAAAATACAAATATATAAAAGCCGCTTCCCCCTATTAGTATGACCATGAACGCAACCACCTGAATGCTTCACGGATGTGTTAGCAAAATAATTTCAAACTCACAAGCATAATGAATGCTTCACGGATGTATTGCAGGCATAATAATTTCAAACTCACAAGCATAATGAATGCTTCACGGATGTGTTAGCATAATAATTTCAAACTCACAAGCATAATGTGGTTGCATTCAGTGAACACAATAAGAGGAACCGTCTATCAAAACTACTTAAGATCTGTGGCAGGGGCAGTCCCGCACCAGCCCAGGTTGAAGATCTTGGCAAGATCTTGCATGATCTTGGAAGATCATGGCAAGGTCTTGGCAAGACGCTAATCTTGGCAAGATCTTGCCAAGATATTACCAATATCTTGCCAAGATTATTCAATCTTGTCATACTTGCCAAAATCTTGCCAAGATTGTCTGAAATTCTTGTCAAGATCTTGCCAAGATCTTTCATGATTTTTCGTCATACATAATTCTTGCTGAGTTGTATTTTTCGACCTTCATAAGTATAGGTATAATGAACCTTGATCAAACCAATTGCATATATCACAACATTGCCAATACTCTATCATGATCTTGCCATGATCTTGGAAGATCTTGTCAAGATCCCACCATGATCTTGCCAAGATCCCACCATGGTCCTTGCCAAGATCTTATCACAATCTTGCCAAGATTATATCATAATATTGCCATGATCTTGGACAACCTTGCCAAGATTCCACCATGATCTTGCCAAGATCTTGTCAAAATCTTGTCAATATCCTATCATGATCTTGCCATGATCTTGGAAGATCTTGTCAAGATCCCACGATGATCTTGCCAAGATCCCACCATGGTCCTTGCTAAGATCTTATCACAATCTTGCCAAGATTCTATCATAATCTTGCCATGATCTTGCACAATCTTGGCAAGATTCCACCATGATCTTACCAAGATCATATCAAAATCTTGTCAAGATCCTATTGTAATCTTGCCATGATCTTGGAGGATCTTGGCAAGACTCCACCATGATCTTACCAAGATCCTTTCTAAGATCTTATCACAATCTTGCCAAGATTCTATCATAATCTTGCCATGATCTTGGACAATCTTGCCATGATTCCACCATGATCTTGCCAAGATCTTATCAAAAATCTTGCCAAGATCCTACCATAATGTTGCCATGGTCTTGAAAATCTTGACAAGATCTCACCATGATCTTGCCAAGATCTCAGCATGATCTTGCAAATATCTTACCAAAATCTTGCCAAGATCTTATTGTAATCTTGCCATGATCTTGGAGGATCTTTTCAAGATCCCATCAATGATCATGATCCTTGCTAAGATCTTATCACAATCTTGCCAAGATTCTATTATAGTATTGCCATGTTCTTGGAAGATCTTGTCAAGATCTCACCATGATCCCAGCATGATCTTGCCAAGATCTTATCTATCTTGATCTTGGAAGTTCTTGACACAATCTCTTGTCATGATTTTACCATGATCATACCAAAAATGCCATGATTTTGAAAGATCCTTGTGAAAGGAGGCTTTTACGCGCACAGTTGCTCTCGCACCTTTGCGTGCCAGATCCAAATGACTGAAATGAGATCAATTAATCAATATCTGTAAATCTTGTTATCTGCGCATTTTTCGCATATTTGTGGTAGACAACCGTTGGTAAAAGCCCCAAGGCGCGTTTTATAAGTCAAACATACAAGGTACACGGCAGTTTATACTTCTGTTCCTCGACTTTGTTGCTGCACTAAAGAAGAAAGGATAACTTGTCGAGCTGTCTTAAATAAAAAGTAAGTGCTTACAACCTATTTTGTAACACATTATTTGTATATTGAATGAATGAGCGCTAAGCAGTTTGATTACCACATGTAATAAATGTTTCAAGCTTTTTCAAATAACCTTACAAAAGGCTAAGTTAATCGGCTAAAGCGATGCAATGCTTGCTGTAATTTCGACTTTAAATAATTTTAATAACACCTCATCATTGGTCGCAATAAGCTTTTACGTGATAATGCCTAGTTTAACGTTTTGTTAAGAATGACAAAGCCGTTGAGAATACCCCTGGGACCACAAATTATTATATTCACACAGTCTTATATTTATTACACAGCTTTTGCGCAGCTTGCGCTACTGAAATGTCCTGATAACCGTAGTTTCGACAGATCCGGTGCCAAACATCGTAAATGCAGCGCATAGGAACACGCAATTTCACACTACGGTATAAATGTGAGCTTCATTAGTGAGTTAAGTTTCATTATGCCAACCAGTGAAGCTAGGATAAAATATAGAGATCTTTCATATAAAATTAATGGTTTGAGCTATGATTATTCAACATGCTTGTGTATTATTCAAAATTTGTTATTTCAAATATTATTTAGGAAAACATGGTGAAAGCATCCCCAAATGATAAAGCTATGGCCAAAAAAGAAACTACAGAGATCGAGATTGTAAGTATGAGCTATGAGTGTGTACATGTGTAATTTATCGTTTTTACTTAAAAAGAATTCAACTACAGTGATTTAATATCAAGTATTGTTAATTCATTTTAGTGGCACAATGACATTAATTTGATGACCGTAAATGCACCACCAAAAGAGCCATCAAAATGTGCAATCAAATTATTGGACTTCCTATTTTCATCGGAAGAGCTCCAGGATGGAATACTATTCCAGTCGAAAAGATCTCCAAAACCAGCACCAGATCCCAACATGGTCACTAAATTGTTTGGTAAGAATAATATATGTGATTTGACTTCAAGAAAAATTAACTGGCCAGCTGTGAACAGATATATACAAACTTAAGACTAAGTTGCCACAGTATGTGTTAATTAAAAGTACTATAGTTTTCTTTGCCAATGGCAATGTGTTTTGGGTAAACATTGAAATGAACTTAAATACACAAAATAGACTTACTTTAACACAGTCTTTTTTTACGATATAGCTGTCCTCAACGCCAAGTATGGCGAAGAAAAAGTACAGAGAACAGTAAACACGCCAAATTATCGTGGATGCGTGCAATCAAAATTCAAAAGTGCCGCGATATGCGAAGAAAAACAAAATCGAAGAACTTGCAATAACAATGGTGTCAATGCTAATATAATTCATGAAGTAAAGTATGAAACAACCTCCGAATAAAAGTTCCATCTTGAAACTCAATTCTTTAGAACAACATTATTAAGAACAGACAAGATTCCTTTTGTTTTCTCTCAAATATTGAGCAAGGTGGAACTTTCATTCGGACTTTATTTCAATCGCCATAGATATTGATAATATTTTACCAACATTATTGGTCTAATTTACTACATTTACTATGCAAACTAAACCGGGTAAAAGCTTGAGTATTATAATTTGGATGAACTAATTTATTACAATTTAATAAAGACCGACACTGAATTTATGGCAATATTGTACACTTTTACGTTAGTTTGATAAATTCAATCAAAGTTATATCCAGAGTATAGTATATTTCATGTAGAGCCTCTTCATTCTGTATTTGCCATGTATTCTTGCCACAAACGTGGTAAAATCTTGTATGGTCATGGCAAGATCTGGCTGGATTTTGGTAAGATATTGAAGGATCATGGCAAGATCTCGGAGGATTTTTGGTAAGATCTTGGAGGATCATGGCAAGATCTTGCTGGATTTCGGTAAGATCTTGGAGGATCATGGCAAGATCTCGCAGGAATTTTGGCAAGATCATGGCAAGATCTTGCTGGATTTTGGTAAGATCTTGGAGGATCATGGCAAGATCTTGCAGGATTTGTGGTAAGATCTTGGAGAATCATGGCAAGATCTTGCAGGATTTGTACCATGATCATGCCAAGATGTTTCATAAATCTTGCAAGATCATGGAAAGATCTTGCATGATCTTGCAAGATCTTTCCAAGTTCTTGCAGGATCTTACCTAAGATCTTGCAGGATCTTGCAAGATCTTTCCATGTTCTTGCAGGATCTTACCTAAGATCTTGCAAGATCTTTCCATTATCATGGCAAGATCTTGCAAGATCTTGCCATTATCATGGCAAGATCTTGCAGGATTTGTACCAAGATCATGCCAAGATCTTACATAAATCCTGCAAGATCATGGAAAGATCTTGCATGATCTTGCAAGATCTTTCCAAGTTCTTGCAGGATCTTACCCAAGATCTTGCAGGATCTTGCAAGATCTTGCCATTATCATGGCAAGATCTTGTCATGATCATG